GCCCTTACACTTGGTATGAAGAAGCAACCAAGCACTCGAGTAAGCTTTGTGATAGTTTGAAATATTCCCTTATTTACATGCACCGCGGCATTCCGAGGTGGCGAGAGTTATGCATCTGACCCTTAAACTATATTTGCAAGTTTATATGTTTTACAGAAATTCTCCAGTTTAAGGATCGATGATATGGAAACGGTATTTTGATTTAGATTTCTCTATCAAGAAGCTCACGGTAGCAGCTCGGGGTCACGAAATAGGTGGTATTTCACTCCCGTATCACGAAAAGCACGTAAATTCGGTGGTCTTGCACCTGATTTCTCCCGGATTACCGTCCTATCGGACTACGAGAGTGTGCATACATTTGGGCAGTTTCCATTGAGATTGGCAGCCGTGACCGAAATTCAGTCTGGAGGATTTTATTAATATAGCGCCAAGAACTCTGGCTGCGTTCCGCGTTAAATGGATATACTTAGCGTTTGAGTGAGAAAAGAAGCAGTACGGTTAACAACTGATTTTAAAACTTCATAGTACGTGAACTCCACAGAACGATAATATGTCACCAAAAAACTGTCGTAAAATATGTTATCAGAAAATCATAATATTTGCACCAGTTTCTCAGTTGATCCGCTTCTAATGAAATTCCAATCCTTATCGACCTTAACGAGTAATCAGGTACATGAAAATCGAGGAAATAATTATCGAGTCAAAAGTCGATCCAAAGTATGCCATCGTTCAAAAAACTCGACGACAAAAGCAGTCAGCAATTTTCTTTATTCGATTAATTGGTGCTCCTAGTGGGCTTTTGGCGGCTATGCATATATCTTACCCTTAAGTAATGTGCCAAAAGATGATGTAATTCAAAGGAAATTAAACAGTTGAAACATGTTCACTAGCCTCTTACCTCCTTGTGTTGTATAAATTGGGATTGTAGTCAAGCACAGATTTATAACAGGTTATTTTTCTCTTTTATAAAACGATACCCCCACACTAGGATTTTCTCCTGTGTCGTGGAGGCAGTTAACAAACGTAAATTGCACGAGGACAAACATCCAGACCCGAAACAATTATTTGTAGGCCATACATACATATACTTGTTCCGTGCGGAATTCGAACCGAATCCGCGGCCCCCAGCGCAACAACTCATTGCTAAGCCACTGCGCCATGGAGCCGTCAAAAAAAATGTTGTATTAATATCAGCTATAAACGAATTTCTTTTAACAATATCTTTTTTAAGATTACAAAGTATTATCATAAGCAGAAATGACTTTATTCACAAAACACTATTTTGATATTGACAATTGAAGCTTAGGTTGTTGACAATGATTATTTTATTAGATTAAGGGTAACAAATGAGTGAGATGATAAGTGAATGCTGTGGATTAAAAGCACTTACAGATTTAAGAAATAATATAGTATATCTATGCTCGATTAAAGATTTTGATTTCTAATCGATGATATATAACCTAAAATTCAAAATACAGATGCATTGTCACCCCACAGAAGATAGAATGCATGATAATAGCTTCTATTTTGCATGCAGTCTGTTGATGGACGTGGGCTTAGCGAACGAACGAGCTATTAAGCTACTTAATATGTTAAGCTGTAATTTCAGCACCTTTTAGTTGTTATTATATAAACCGAAAACTTTATTTTGATCAACGTCATATAAAAGCTATTTTTTGGGAATTTCAGCGTTTCTCTCTAAACTGCATTACCCTCTTATATTCGTAATACTTACACAAGTTACACGTATCATAACAGGATAACCATCAAGGGTTCATTCATTCTTAGGTCAAATATATACTATTTCCGAGATTTGATACCATATGAAAGTATCTTTTTAAACCTTCAATTTTGCTGACACCTATGTTATGTAAGTAAACAATGATGTGATCCATAGACATTACATCTTTTGACGATTAAGAACTAAAATGCAAATGTACACTGGGGTTTAAGATGTCAGTAAAACGGGTTTTTGGATCTCATCACTCGTCATATAAAACACAGCAGAACTCCAGCAGCTATAATACAGCAACAGTTTTATACGTGGTAGAGCCATGCTGCAGCTATATTAGTAGCATCGTTGTAACACGAATGGGTCGGCTCGACCGGGGAAGGACCACGCTCTCACATAATACCAGCGTAAAATAGCAGCTTAACACTGCTGTGTTTCGTATGGTGAGCGTAGAGAACCGGTGACCCTTTTTACAGGAAAAGAGGCATACCATCGTAGTCCTCACGGGTGACAACGCATCTGCATTTTGATTCGCAAACGAGGATAGATGTAGATGTCTATGGGCCACAGCAACCACTTACCATCAGGTGGACTGTGTGCTCGTTTGTCACCCTATTTTATAAAAAACGAAAGATTTGGATACTTCTTTGTTTGAAGTTAGCTGCAGTCATTCAAAAAAGCCATTAAATTGAATGGCAGAGAATGCCACAAGGCAATAAGTCCCTATGTATCCCTTGTTGAAAGTGTTTGCAATAAAAGATAAAATAGCACATTGAAAGCAAACCTTCTCTTCCCAAGAAGCTATCAGTGATCCATTTAATGTCTTCGTGTTATAATCAGCAGGTTTTAATCATTTTGTCAACGTATTACAGTAAATCATAAATAACAATTACTATAATTGACTTGAACGGCGTGCGGACATTTTTAAGATGAATCATATGTTTACTATTAATATTGAGCTGATATCGATGATAAATGTAAAATATTTTACATCAATTTGCACTAAAGGTTAATAATAAATCAATATTTATGAATGATAATCAATTCCTTCATGGCTCTTGTCTCTAGAAAAACGAACCAGTCATTCACAGTTCCTCTTTTGATATCAATCTACAGCTGTCTTAATTATTATCATCATCATCATCATCATTACAGCCCTTCACAAGTCCACTGCTGAACGTAGGCCTCCCCCAAAGAATGCCACAAAACACGGTCCTGAGCCACCTGCATCCATCGACTTCCTGCATATCTTACCAGGTCGTCACTCCATCTAGTGGGGGGCGCCCTACACTTCGCCTGCTGGTACGAGGCTGCCACTCGAGAACCTTTCTTCCCCATCGGTTGTCGGTTCTTCGAGATATATGGCCGGCCAATTGCCACTTCAGCATACTAATCCGTTGGGCTAGGTCGGTCACTCTGGTTCTACTGCGGATATCCTCATTTCTAAGTTTATCACGCATAGAAATTCCGAGCATAGCCCTCTCCATAGCTTGCTGAGCGACCTTGAGCTTCCTCATTCGGCTATCAGTTCCATAGGTTATCACTGGCAACACGCACTGGCTGTCTCCTTTTCAAGTTTTGAGGTATACCTCACGAGAAGATGTGCCGTAATTTCCTACGCTGCCCAACCGAGTTGAATCCGTCGATTGACCTCTCGGTCGAAGTTGGACTTACCTAGTCGGACTATTTGTCCCAGGTAAACATACTTGTCGACAACTTCGAGCTAAGTGCTCCCAACAACTACCGGCATAGGTGTGATATGGACATTAAACATGATCTTTGTTTTGTCCATGTTTATCTTAAGACCTATCCGTTGGAAACACTATTGAGGTAATTGAGCATGGTGCTTAGGTCCTCCAGCGATTCTTCCATAAGGACTATATCGTCGGCAAATCGAAGGTAAGTGATGTACTCGCCATTGATGGTAATACCGTATCCTTTCCAGTCCAGAAGCTAGAAAACGTATTCCAATGCAGCGATGAAGACTTTCGAGTATATAACGTCACCCTGTCTTACACCTCTCTGCAATTGGATAGGTTTTGTACTCTGGTTCTTTACTCGGAAAACCATCGTAGCCCTACTGTACAAGCATTTCAGCACTTCGATATACCAACAGTCAACTTGGCACCGCTGAAGGGACTGCAGTACCGCCCAAATTTTGACGGAATAAAAGGCTTTCTCATAGTCCACATACGCCAGATATAATGTGGTCTATGGTGCTAAAGCCTTTTCGGAAACCGGCTTGTTCGGGAGGCTGGAAGTCGTTAAGTCTGCACGCGAGACGATTCGTAATGACTCTCGAAAACAGCACGTAAACGCGGCTCAGAAGGGAAATCAGTCTGTAGTTCTTCAAGAGAGCATTGTCACCTTTCTTGAAGAACAAGACCACCGCACTTCTGCTCTACATCTCCGGTGTAATACCTCCATGGAGGACGGATTTAAAGAGGTTCTGAAAGACTACAAGTACCGATTTTCCACCCGCTTTCAGAAGCTCCGCTGTAATTCCATGCTCGCCTGGAGTCTTGCCGTTTTTAAGGTGCTGGAGAGCCATACTCTATCTCTAATAAAGACTTTGAAGCCCTGGTTTAGATCGATCGCTTCTTCAGTACGAGCAGTATTAAAGTCCCGCCGCATGCATTTGGAGATCTGTCTGTTCATTTGCCTATATGCTGTCAAATCTACTGAAGACTGCAGCTTCATATCCCGTCTAACAGCCATGAGATTAAGAGTGTGATCGGAGAGTTTTTGTGTTCTTCTGCGGCGGGTCTTGCAAAGCTCCGACCGCATGGACAGTTTCCATGAGCTTGTCATTTATATCGTCCACTGCATTGCAATCTTCTAGGCACTGAAAAAGATTTGTAGCGCGATCTGAAAGGTTTCAGGACTTTGGATTAGAGCACGAGGGTGACGAAACATTGACTTCATTAGACGTGACCCCTCCAACTTAACGTTTAAGTTCAGTGTGCTACTCACCATTCCGTGTTCGCTGCCGGTTTTCACCCTCGCGATCACTGAGACATCACTGAACAGTTGTCGTCTGGTCGTCATAATGAAGTCAATCTCATTTTTTGTTAAACCGTTTGGGACTCGACAAGGTCTACTTCCTGTGGGGCCGCTTCTGTAAGAAAGAGTTCATCATAAAGAGTCCCTCTTTCTCCATGAAGTCGGCTAACTGTTGATCCCTTGGGTTCAGTTGCCCTATTCCAAATTTCCCTACTTTCAGCTTACCGTTCTCTCCTGTGCCTAGTTTTGCGTTGAACTTACCCATTCACGCCGTATAGTGGGTTTTGGAGGAATGTATGACTCCAGATATATCTTCATGCATTTTCTCCACCTCCTCATTGTTATGTGTCGAGGTTGGTGCGTAAACCTGTATGACCTTTAACGAATACCGTTTAGTAATTCTGAGTATAACACCACATTCACCTTCGTCGACACACTCTCAATCTTTACATTGTTGTTAACGAGAGACTTGTGGACGATAAATCCGACACCTCCTTGGATAATCATGAGGGGTATATTGCCATAGTTGCCACACTTAGCGAGTGGCAGTTTTTTATTGTTGTTTTGCTGTTATCAGAAAGATGCTGATGCTCATCTTCTGCCTCATTTTCCCTCTGTCACCTCTTATGACACCCACGGGAAGGTAGGGGGTAGTGGGTATTCTTATCCGCCACTACACGGGCAATTATATTTTTTACTATCCACCGCCATCTAGCAGCAATTATATTGTTTACTATCCACCGCCATCTAGCAACAATTATATTTTTAACTATCCATCGCCATCTAGCAGCAATTATATTTTTTACTATTTACCGCCATCTAGCAGCAATTATATTTTTTTTCTATATGTGCCTCTTACGAGATACAGAAAACAAAATGGGGTGATGAATTTGCTTACGCCACAACCTCAAATGTATTTTTTTATAGAATAAGAATGACAAACATACACACAGTACAATTAAGTATAAGTGGATGCAGTGGTCCATAGACATCTACAACTATCTTTTATTAAGAATCAAAATCCAGATGCGCTGTCAGACCAGAGGACTAAGATGGGATGCTTCGTTTCCAGTAAAAAGGACCGCCGATTCTCTACACTCTTCACACCAAAAACAGCAGTATTGAACTCCTGTTTTACGCTGGTATTCTGTGAGAGCGTGGTCCTACTCTGGTCGAGTCGACTCATTCGTGCTAGCACCATAATATAGCTGCAGCATGGCACTTATATATTACGTATATACGTGATAGCAATAAGTATCTTCCTCACGCAAGCATAAACGTGTGTGTGTATGCTGTCTTCTTCCACTTCCATAAATAATATGAAGATTTTCATATTATTGCATTTATTTTTTAACGTAATACACACAGCAGCATTAAGGCGCTATTTTACGCTGGTATTCTGTGAGAGTGTGGTCCTTCCATGCTCAAGCTCAGTGTGGTCCTTCAGTGCTCACCCCTTCGTGCTACAACCATAATATAATTGCAGAATTTCACTACCATTTTTCTCTTAAATAAAAATATGTTCTCTAGGTATTCATATATCTACAGATATCATAGCGTAGGTTTAAAATACAATGGCTCAATACAAGAATCAACATGATTTCAAGTTCATGCATTCCACCTTAAGTTAACAGTAATGCATAATAAGAAACCAACAGGTGGTAGTTCAAATATCAACCAAATGGAGACCGCAACACAATAACTCGATGTGTTCGAACTCAAATCGATACTAGAAGTGGTATAAATAACATTACTTTTGACATCGGAACCGTGAGAATCGATTTAAGTATCGTGTCTGTGGAACCGCTACCTTGTAGCTATTTTGACATTATTATTTGCATGATATATAAGTGGAAGAATTATTGTTAAGCAATTATTTGGTCTCCGTATAGTAGCGGGCTGAATTCAAATCCGGCAGGTCTGCCATCACACCTCCTGAATAGAAAAGTCGCTATTCACATTACAATATTGAGACATTTAAGCCCACACAGTATGTGCAATAGCACAAGACCTTTTAACAAAAGACTAAATGACAATGTGATTAATAACAACCATCTTCACTGGACCTGAAGCCGGATAGCTTGCGTAAATTCCACATATTTATTCGTATCGTTGGCCTTCCAGGAGAAGCTTTCTCGCTGGTGGTTATCGATGTGAGAATTTCTTATGGGCAATTATAAGTCAATCGTCAGGTATACCTCAAAACTTCAAAACAAGATTGTAAACCAGTGCGTGTTGCTAGTGATAACCTATGGATATAAGAAGTAGTCCTTCACTACTGACCGTATGAGGAAGCTCAAGGTCGCTCAGCGAGCTGTGGAGAGGGCTATGCTCGGTGTTTTTCTGCACGATAGACTTAAAAACGAGGTTATCCTCAGTAGAACCAGAGTAACCAATATAACCCAACAGATTAGTAAGCTGAAGTGTCAATGGGCTGGCCATATAGCTTGCAGAACCGACAACCGATAGGGATGAAAGGTTCTCGAGTGGCAGCCTCGTACCGGCAAGCGATGTGTGGGGCGTTGACCTGGAAAGACATGCAGGAAGTCTAAGGTTGCAGGTGGCTCAGGATCGTGTTTTGTGGCGTTTCTTGGGGGAGGCCTATGCAATGGACATGTGAAGGGCTGTAATGATGATGATAATGAATTATATGGTGGTTTGTTTCGAGTGGGATCTTTTGAAAATCAATATATTCTGCTACCAACACCACTGCAAATATAGTAAATGCGTTGAAATAATTTAATATTTTAAATCCATACTAAGTATGTATCACATAATATTTTTTATCATTATACTATCTATACTGTGCTCGCGTTTACCACTACAACACCGGATGGTAAGCGATAATGCGGTCGAAGATGGGGCACACTTGTCTAGAAGTAACCTATTAATTTGTGATTTAAAAATTGAGCCCAATACGTTTGACTCAAAACTTTGAACTCGCTCAGGGATAGAGTATAGCTTCTTAATAGTAAAAGAATTTTTAGAACGATGTCGCGGGCGGGTCAGCTAGTAATATATAAAATAATAATATATATGATTCATAAAATAATATATAATTTGTAAAATATTAATGAAAAAAAATTAGGTTAGAACCTTAATGAAATTATCTAGAATTGTCAGTTCTAGATTTCATAGGACGCGAAAAAAAAAAAACAGAGTTGCTTCCTCGGCAGCACTGATATACACCCGATGTTTAATTTTAAAGTTACCGCTGTATTGTGGCTATAATATGATGGATCGGCTAAAACGAGCAAGGACCACGCTTTCACAGAATGCCGGGTTTTAATAGGTGACTCTTTTTACGTAACCAACGAGACGTTACTTTTGAAGAGTAGAAAGTAAAACTAATTCGTAGCACGCAAATTATCAATTTTTTATTATTTTTTTGTAATTAATAATTCAATTTTGCCGTTTATATTGTTATAATGAATGTTTCACACCTTAAGAACTAAGTTAAAAATTATCAAAATAAGGGTGTATATTGATAATTATTCATAGATCCATTATTAATATAGATTTTTAGAAGTTATACTTCTCATGGTGCGTTTTATAAAAATAATGAGAAGTAGTTTTTTACGACGCGCGCGCACACCTAAAAATGACACCATGAAGTTGTTACGATGCGCGAGCACACCGATACCTAAAAGAGTTCAGTTGGTAATTGTCTGTCAACTGTCAAGTTTTCGTGAGAACTGATAACTGTATTCAAGGTAGTTTATTCAAATATAATATACGAATCTATAAAACGTGTTTTAATTTTGTTTTATTACGCTAAAGAAGTATAACTTCTTACATACGTAGGTACATAAGTCCACTTTGCTTCTGCTCTTGTTATGGACACTACTGTACGATCTCAAACGATAGCTTATTTAGCTTCTATCCAATCCTTAAATTCCTTCTTTTTAATTTTCTCCAGTTCACCAGGATGATATTAAAAAAATTGTTCTAGCAATTAAATCCAAGGCTGTGGGTTGTGATGAAATCAGTAGAACTATGATAGTCAATATACTGGAGTATGTACTACCTGCACTTACTCTCATTATTAACTTTTCGCTGGACTCAGGTCAGTACCCAAATCTCTAGAAAATGGCTTTCATATGCCCTATTCCCAAAATATCGAATCCCACATTACCACCTTCGTATCACCTTATACACATAATTACCTTCGTCCGATATCTATATTGCCTTTTCTATCTAAAGTTCTGGAAGGCTGTGTACATAAGCAAGTCTCCAATTTTGTACTTAAACATAATTTGCTCAGCGATTATCAGTCTGGGTTCCGTCTCGGTCACAGCACCACTACAGCATTACTCAAAGTTACGGAAGACATCAGGCAAGGTATAGAAAGGAAGAAAGTGACTGTAATGGTGTTTGTTGACTTTTCTAATGCTTTTAACGCAGGGGACCATGATGTCCTTTTATCTGTCCTGTCCTATTTAAGATTTGCACCCTCAGTCTTGGATTGGTTCTCTTCATATCTTCGCGGGCGTCAGCAGTCTGTCCATTTGGGACAGAAGAGTTGCAAGTGGGCTAGTCTTGATGCTGGCGTCCCGCAAAGCGGTATACTTTCTCCATTAATTTTCTCAGTTTTTATAAACTTGATCAAATCTATTCTTAACTGTTCGTACCATCTGTATGCCGACAACCTCCAAATTTACTTGCACTCATCTATTGAAGAGCTCCATGATGCTATTAGAATGTTAAATCTGAACTTGGAAGCTGTGAAAGAATGGTCTAGGCGTTTTGGAGTATCAGTTAATCCAACGAAGTGTCAAGCTATAATCGTAGGCAGCTCGAGAATGTTGTCCAAAATTAATGAGACAAGCCTACCTGCTGTCTATTACAATGATATACCGATACCGTTCTCTTCCTCTGTAAAAAATCTTGGCCTGTATATGGATAACACAATGAACTGGTGTACGCATGTCACCGAAATTAGCCGCAAAGTCTTTGCCACCTTACGATCCCTCCATTGTCCATTATTGATTATGCAGATGTATGCTACCCAGATTTGAACCAAAATCTTCCTAACAAGCTAGAGCGTCTTCTCAATAACTGTACTAGATATATATTTGGTCTTATCTTATCTTTATCTTATCTTGGTCTATGATCCACATCTATCATTATCGTGAACGCCTGAAATGGCTCACTATCCAACTAAGACGAAACTCTAGAATTTTGCTTGTTCTTTTCTCAATTTTGAATAATCCAACTTCTCCAACATATCTGAAGGACAAACTCCAATATCTCTTTTCAACTCATGATAAGGTTCTTCGCTCCTCATTTAATCATAAGATTAGTATTCCATCTCATTTCACAGGATTCACCAACAATTCTCTATGTATGATACATACTTTATCCATATATTTACAC